TTTTTTTTTTTTTTTTTTTTTTTTTTTTTTTTTTTTTTTTTTTTTTTTTTTTTTTTTTTTTTAACTCAAGAAATTTTCCGGAATTTTGACTTGGGCTCACAATCACCCCTGCATGTGTCAAAAACTTGCCAACCCTGATTTATGTTTAAGTGAATAATTAGACCATGACTAACCCAATCCAATTGCTAACATAATAAGCATTCAATAACACAATAGTAAAAGTGATATTAAATTTTTAACTGTTACAAATACAGTAACAGAATTATAAACCTATAAAATTTTACATGCAACAAAAATGGAATGGGACTTTTATGTGTGCTGCTTTTTAAGACTGCATCTTTATAGATCCCAAAACCATCGTTCTATTTTTATTTTTAGAAATAGGGAATTTGACAACATAGTCTTCAACATAGAAGGTACTGGGACAGATCGTTTATTTCCGATAGATTCACGTATAGAATAAGATTTTCTACTATCAATCTAATTAAAGATTGACGCTTCAGAATAGTTAAATCCGTTTAAACATTGTTTTCAACTGTTTCTGTCTTAGGTATTATTAGCCTTTCTCAACAGATGAAAAGTTTGGTAATTGGTGAAAGTTAGTTCAGAAATAGTTCTCAGCCACATTTTACAGTTTGGGTGAAGTATGGTTTTAAACACGACCTGTTCAGTAGTTGATACATTGCTCTTAAATCGTACAAGTATGGTTTAGGCTACTGCGTGACGTTTTCACGACGTATTACTCCAAGCCTCAAACAACAGTTTGCTAACTATGAAACAAGTAGAACATAAGAAAATAAGTTGCGAATATGATGTATTAAATAATCAGTACATTACCTTAGCTCTGCTATAAATTACATTGAAAAATCTGCAAAACCGATTAACTTAAATTAAAACTTAACGCAAGCTCACAGCGACTTGAGTCTTCTTGAATATATCTCCATATGAAAAAAGCTTCACAATTTATCCGCAAGAGCGTTCCCTATACCAGCGGTTTTTCTGTTACAAACGGTCTTTTTACTAAAAAAGTATTTTGGAAATTTTTTTAATAAAGAATGAAATTTATTAATTGTTTCATCAATAACAGTCATAAAGTTGGTTTTATATTAGGCAGTTGAATTCATAGGTCTGCATCGGCTTTTTGTGTAGTTTAGTTTTTGGCTTATGCGTAGATCAAATTGAATAAAATAAGTTGAATTATTGATTTTAAAAAAGATTTTTTTTAAAGCTGTTAGAATGAATATCGGGCAAAAATAATTCTTTATTCTTGAATTCGGTTATTTTAGTTTGAATTTTAAAGTTTGATGAGAAATACTTATGTGTGAAAAAGATAATAAATAATTATGGAATTTTTTTTAAATATTTTTTTTTCATTGAATAATGTAATTAAATAATTTCATAAAATTATCCGGACCATTAATAAAATAAAATAACTATTAAGGTTTAAAAAGTAATTTTTGATTAAAATAAAGAGCCCTAACTCGCGGAACCCTAGGGTTCCGCGAAACAGCTTTTGGAAACCATTGCTCTACACAGTGCTTCTTCAGAAATTAGAGGTATGATTTAGTTAAGCAGCTCTTCTCTGAAGTAAAAATAAATGCATATTCATATAAAAATGTAAAACTAGGAAAAAAACAGTATTTTAAAAATCCATTTGATAAGACAGTAGGATTTATATAAAATTTTTGAACAATACTTAAAATTTTTTATTAACTATTATATTTTATTTGTTATTGATTTTGAAACACTATTAATATTAGTCTAAGGCTTAGCTAAATAATAATAATCATTAAAACAAATTTAAAAAATAATTTTTTTTAGAGTACTAACAGTGCTGTATTTTATAATACTTTGTATTTGAATATTTACTAAGAGAATCAATTTAATTTTATTGTCACTTATAGCATGTTGAATGAAATTTCGTGTTAAATTTATTTTTTCAAAAATCACTATAATTTATTTTAGTTTTAATTATATGAAATTGATAGAACGAGAAATAAACGCTCCTCAAAGCGAAGATAGTACTACAAGATGCTCTAATTTAAATAATTTATGCGCATATAATTATCGAACTTAATAACTTTTGTTTGATCATGAGCGATTGGAATAAAAGTAATGAAATGTTGCCAGTTTACTTATTAAATATTTAATAATTCCGCACCACTCTTCTTTTATCTTAAATGCAAATCTATACACCAGGTGTCGTAAAAACAGGAGCATCCATTGACATCAATTTTCTTCTCTGGGTGTCACGTTCATAAAGTGGTAATGAACTAGTCGCGACACACAGTCAAACCTAATTAAGCAAACGACTCTTTTATGAGTTTTCTTAATTTATTAAACGAAAAAAATTAAATGAATAAAAATAATAATCGTAACGAAGGTGTTTAGAGGAAAGAAACTACTAGCCTCCGGGTGGGCCGTTGACCCCACCTTTTCGATAGGGAGCAATGAGAGTGAAGGCTCTCGCGCGCGACACGCTGCGTTACACTTTTTAATATTTTTTTTTATTTGTTTATCATTTTATTTTATTTTTCTCCTTCCAACCTGCCGGTTTATTTTCTGACAGAATCAAAGCTCTTCACCTCATCGTTCGCAATCACATGCGCCGGTGTTCCGTGCGGCAATTCAAAGCATGAAGGTGGGTGTATTGTTTCGTAATTTATGATGGGAAGCGGAATTTTTGTTCATTTTACAAATGAGTGTGAGTGTTCTCATAGTAATTTGTGTATGTTTTTGTGGTATGACTAACAAAAAAAAAAACATATAGTCGAAAGCTAATTTTAATTTTTCGTTCAACACTTAATTCTGCTTTATTTTACTAGTTCATTTAAAATTTATTTATATATAGCTTTAGTAAAGATTGAATATTGTGATATTAATATTCTAGTTTTACATTTTAGTTAATAAGTTTTACAAAATGAGTGAAAATTTTTTTTAATTTAAAATTTTGTTGGAATTGAATCACTAATGAGAGATATAATTATCTGATTAGTAGTGCACTTCAGGTTTAACTCCATTCTAACTTTTTTAGATTTAAAATTTTGTCGAAGAATTATTTTTAATTTGCATTATTAATATTATTATTTTTATTAACTATTTGCTGTTTGTGGAATCGTTCATGGAATCCTGGGATCCCTTAAATTTGAAAATCCTTCCCATCCCCCAAAAAACTCATACGTTTTGCTTGCAATTGTTTTTTGAAAGAGGAAAGTTTTTCCCTTATTTTTTTTTCTTTCCTTTAAAAAAAAATAATTCGTTAATTTTTCCTATTTACAGCTATTTATTATTCCAAAAGACCAACATTAATAAATAAAATAAAAATAAATAAGGTGCGTGGGAATTAAAAATTCTTTTATAGAAATGATGATTATAAAGGTTTTTTTTTCTACTTTTGTTTCAAATTTAATAATAATGCATTATATTGTAGATTTTTTTATTTCTCCAAGAATGAAAAAATTATCCTTTGTTTATTCCTTATTTCATTCTAATACAGTATAGTTTCGTAGCTTTTATTGAGATCCATTATTTATTGTGAATATTTGAGAAGTAATAGTAGTACTAATGAAAAATCTAAAGTTGTTTTAAAAACTTTTACAATCATAAAGTAACTTTTTAATTTGTTAAAAATTATTTGTAAATGTTAAACTAACATGTATATATTGTAAGACAAAGTTTTTTTTCTTTTTCGTCTTTACAATATTGCTTATTTATAGTCGCCTACTTGTTCCTCATTAGGTTTTGATTTTTTGAAACTATGTTTAAAATAATATAGTTTTTAGTCTCTAGTCCACAGCACTGTTTATCCTGCAGCATAAGAGAGGATATACGGAACGAATCATACAGATTGCAGGAATTATTTTTAAAAATGTATAATAGCCATTAAAAGCAAATTCAGAAGACCAAGTTTTGAGTGCGTTATTACTATTATTATAATTATTATTTTATTTGCTTAAAGTGGGTGGAACTAAAATTTTAAAATGTAATTTCATTAAAGTATTTAATGTTTTATTAATTTACTTTCATTTTCACATGTTTTCCTTTCCCCCTTTATCTTTTTATTTATTTATTTACTGGCTGTCTGTTTGGCTGCCGGTGAAATATCAAGAAAAAATACTTTTTCTTAATAAAAATATTAAACGTCGATGAATATGTCTGTATTTGTAATAAAAATATGTTTAGATTTTTTGTTAACTTGTAAAGCTTATTAATGTTTGATTAATCCACTTTTTTTCCCTTTAGAATATTGATTTAAGTGTTTCGGAAGAAAAATGTTCATTCAATGAAAAAAAAAAAATTTTTTTTATGTATATACAATTAAGAAGGTTTTCGGTGAATTTTGAAAAATTTTAAACTTTTGCAATAAAGTAAATTTAATCAGTAAAGTAAATGTATTAAGTTTGTTTTATAAATTAATATTTTCCTTATCATTAATTTTGTTTATTTTTTACTAAATATTTTAATAGAAATTTATTAAAATTAATATTTTAATTCATCAGAACTTATAAATTATTGCAGTGAAATAATTTATTTATTATCCAAAACGCACTTCGAAGTGTCATATTTATTGAAAATGAAATACACATTCGAAAATAGAAAAATAGTTAAGAAAATGATTTTATAAATGTTTTTTTTTCTTTCTAGTTTTCCCATATTAACTACATAGAATTAGTTTTATTAACTACATAGAATGATATTTATGTTTTAATTTTAGGGTAAAAAAGCCTTAACAGCTTTTAAAAAATATCATTTGTTTGGTTTTTTGCACAAGTTGTAATAATCTGTTAATATGGATGTGCTATAAATTATTTTCATTTATAATTTTTTTCCCTTCAGGTTTGCTGCATAGTGGCTTCCCATAATGCCTTCAGCTCACCTGACTTTGAATGAAGAAGACGTCATCAAATTATTGCTGGAGTTTTTATCGAATCGTGAACTTAGCATATCCCAACTTTCAGTGGAAAGAGAAACTGGTGTCATCAACGGGACATTTTCAGACGATATTATCTTCTTGAGACAGCTTATTCTAGATGGCCAGTGGGACGAGGTACTTGAATTTGTGCAGCCACTGGAAGGACTGGACAATTTTGACTCGAAACAATTTCACTACATAGTTATAAAGCATAAGTACATTGAATTACTATGCATACGCTCTGAAACGGGTATTTTTCAAAACGTGGATGTGGCGGTAGAGGAAGTGGTCAAAAGTTTAGCTGATCTTGAGAAATACTGTCCTTCAAAAGAGGACTATAATAACCTGTGTCTTTTAGTGACATTGCCACGACTATCTGACCACTTTGATTATCGGAACTGGAACCCAAGTAACGCACGAGTGAATTGCTTTAAAGCCGTGTACCCTTTAGTTGAAAAGTTTTTACCTCTGGATAAAAAAGGGGCCGAGTCTCAAACAGCTAAAGGTGATAGATTAATTCAGCTGATCATTAAAGGTGTCTTATATGAATCATGTGTTGAATATTGCCAACAGAGAGCTACAAGCTCATCTTCTGAATTGCAAGAGATGGGCTTCTCACATATTCTAAATGGTACCGGCTTTAGTGACTCTGATCTCAGTTTGTTATCGTGGCTGCAGTGCATTCCCCCAGAAACATTTTCATACCCGTTTGAGCAGAAGACGCTCAGTGTGGATGTTGAACAATTAGACAAACCCTCTTTAGAAGCTTCTTGGTCTGAACAAATCCTAGTCACACCGATAAAACCAAAAATATTTCCTCATTCTGCCATGCCTTTCACTCGATTGAGGAACTCTGACTTCATGTCTAAGTCTCTGACTCCCAATCTAGATGGGCTTGGGAACGGCCGTAATGCGATGGCTTATTCCGTAGGAGACCTCACCAATATGTCTAGATCTTATGCTGGATTTCATTTGACTGGTAAGAAAGGTATGAATACATCTGTCGATCGACTTTTTGAAAGCAGTGATGTGTTTAGCACGAGTTGTGCTGATCTTCAATTTGATCTTGACAAAAATCACGTACCATCTAAAGGAAAGTTTACTGTTCCACCTAAAATTGTGGAGCAAGTGAGCCCAAAGGCAGAAGATAGTTCGCAACCACACATACCCGACAAAGAGAACGTTACCAAAGATTTCGGGCTTGAGGAAGACTCCCTAAAGCCCTCTATTAACGACGCAGCCAAACTTCCAAAAGTGCCCGAAAAATCTTTAGAACCTGCGGATAAAAACAATGTATCGGAACTATGGAGGGACTTTCATAGACGGCAACTCTTAGTCAGGAATGCTCAAAATGAGGCAACAAATTTAGAGGCGTCTGTGCTGCAAGAGACGCAGAATATTCAAACACCGGCTCAAAGTGCACAGTACCCTGTGGATGCTTCAAACAATACTTACGTTTCTCTTCCAGCTGGAGTTTCACAGCTTACTCTCTCTAAAATGCAAAATGTAAATAGCTTTCCTACTAGTACGCCTAAACCTTTTGGCAATAGGATTTTGACGCCTGAAATCCATAGTTCTCCCATTTTGAATCGAAATGAAAGCAATTCAATTGAGGATACTTCTCTTCGTTCATTGCCACCTGTACCAAGGAACATCAACGCAGCTACTAACAACTGCGATCCTTCTAAAAATGCTAATCTTGGGTTACAACAGTGTGACATACCTTCAAAGTAATTATTATTTTTTCAATCATTAAATTAAAGCTGTTGTGATATTATTTAATAACTACACAATTGGACTTTTTTCATACAAAGATGGGTAATTTGAAGTAACATGGTTAAAATTTGATCTTTAGTAATTCCAAATTTTTGCCACTACTTAGTAATTAATTGTTAAAATTAGAAGTCTGATTTAAAGGAAATCTTGAAGTTTAACTGCTGTCTAAATTTCTAAATTAATTTAAATTTTCTTTCCGCCAATTTCAAAATTGAATATTTTTATAACTTAGCCATTTTAATCTAAGAGTTATCATAGAATTTTTCTTGTGATTCCAAGTAGCGTGTTTGCAAATGAAGTGTATTTATGAATGGCTTGGTGCAACATAGTGATATAATGTTTAACAAAGGGGACATTCTTAATTCGAACTAATCATCGGTATTATTTTCAAATAGGTATTTTACTAGTTTCTGAAATTTCTTCTTGTAATTAGCACAGTATGTAGTTCCGAGGAGCCCTAGAGTTCAGTGATAGGATTACAGTGGTTCCGCAAGTTAGGATTATTTTATGTAATAGTATCCCGTCAATAATTTATTTCAAACAGTTGTTTACATGAACTTATTTTTGTAAAATTCCAATGAAAAAAAATTAGTAATTATTTTAATAAAAATCGAGCTTTTCAATTCAAAATAAAATAAATTAATTCAAGAATAAAGAAGTACGTTTCTTTAATTTTTAACATTTATAATTAGTGTTTTTTGAAAACCACAACACACCATTTTTTTATTCGTTTTGAAACTATGCAGCACGAGCAATTTTCTAATACGAAATACTTCCTTTTTCTCATTAAATATTTTTAAAATAGTTCGCTGAAAGAAGCTCAAATATTTCGGGTTCCATAGCCGAAAAAATTTGGTCAATGATATTGAGCAAATTATAAATTATCTATCTCCAGTGGCCCCCATCCCCCTCAAGCTCTTGGGCGCATTCTAGGGCAAATTCTAAAGTCCCCCCCCCAAACTATTCTTTTTATTTAGTGTAAAAATTCCCCCCCCCCAAGCTTTAAGTGGGCGCATCGTGTGCCCCCTCCCCCCTGGTGGGGACCCTGTCTATCTCTTATTCAATATATTAATATACATTTTTCTCAGAATTCTATCTATTTATGGTCTAAACAAAGATTTCCAAAGATAAGAGTTATGAATTCAATTGCACAACTGAAACAATTTGAAATCAATTTTTTAGTTTGAACTGATCCAACACTTGCTAAGGAAGAACGGCAATGTAATTTGATACTCAAAATTATTTTCATTTTCTCTTTATTAAAATTCAATATTTCAAAAAATAAATTTCTTTCTTTCTTTCAAAAAGAAAAAAAAAAGGCTGAATTTTATTCTAGCTTCATATTCTACTGGCGAAATTTTTTTTTATTTTCTCGTGGGAGAATTATACGTTTCAAAGGGTGCGGTAAAACTTTTTTTTCGCCACTCCACAATTTTTGTCGTATTTGATGCGCTTTAGCACGTAGGCGGAATCGCTGATTATTGTAGATCATCAACAAAAATAATTTTAAAGTTAAGTTTATTTCTTGTTAAATATCTTAGTTTAATACAATTCTTTATAATAGCGTTTGTTGCTTTTTTTCTTATCCATGCATATATTTGTTAATTCGAGCACTCCCCCCCCCACCTTGCTCAATGAGTTCGAAGTCCACTGTAATATATTAATTTTTTTTCTATTTCTTTGTCAGCCATAAAAAATTGAATTTTGAAATTTTACTTATATATTTTTATTTCTTTACCCATTATGATAAGGATGATCATTTGAGAAACCCCAAATCAAATGTTTCTCTTTTCCCTCCAAAGTGCGTTTTAAGTCATTCTTTTTAATGTTTCAGCCCTCCATTGAATCAGGGGTGATTGCGCTCCGGAAAAAATCCGGATTTCCGGATTTTTCGCTCACCGCAATGTTTTTGAAAACCACAATTCAACGTATTTTATTCGCTTTCAAAATATGCATACACCAAGAATCCATAATACTAAATATTTCATTCTTCAATTTTTCACTTTAAATATTTTCGAAATAATTCACAATAATGTTTTTTTTTTTTTTTTGGTTTATATATTTACAGTTGTTAATGAACTTTTTTAAATATAATGCTGGGGTTCTGCTAAAAAAAAGTAGAACATTTCGTATTCCTTAGCCGAAAAAATTTGGATACCACCATACTGAATCATTTAATTTTATTGTGTAATACCTGAATATTAATGGTCCTCGTAAGTCCTCTTTTTAACTATTAATGGTTTCCTTTTCTCCTTTGTCTAAAATGTGTTGTAAGCTCTGTGTTGTAAGCTTAAATTTTTTTTTTTTTTTAATATACATGTATACTTGTAGTTGTTACACGTCATCTACTTATTTTTATTCATCCAAATTTAAAATGACCATTAAAGAATCTTGTTTCTTGGTTAAAGTAGCCTTTGTATGTTTTGGAAAGTATTTTAGTATACATATATAGCAGGGTTGGGGTTTTGGACGTCCTAAACTGGTTTTGGACAGGACACGTGGGTTTTACTGTCTTAAACTGGATAAAACTGTCCTAAACTGGGTAAAACTGTCCTAAACTGGGTAAAACTGTCCTAAACTGGGTAAAACAGTCTTAAAGTGTCCAAAACCTTGAACTTTGGTAAAAGGTAAAAATTCTATAGGTGTAACCATTGTACACATAATAATTACATGTATCAATAAATATTTGATATTTTTTATACAATTTACTATAACTTATTAAAAGAAAATAATACAATATAATAGGAAAAGGTTTATAATTTTTGAAGCTCCACAATTCATTGAACAACAAAAGTGAATACCTAATCCTTTAAATATAAATATGCTTTTAATACTGATAAATAATATTTTTGCATAAGGATAAATATGGCAATATTAAAAAATAATAATTTTTCTTAAAAAAA